TGTCACCCCTCCCCGACCCTTCCCCGCCCCCCCCCCGATCCCTACTCAGCCGCAGCAGCCCGGGAGGTGCCATTCTGGGACAGGAAGTAGAACAGGACGCACGAGGGAACCTATTTCAAGGAGCGTACGGAAAGGCATGGGCGCCGCCATCTTGGGAAGGTTGCCAGCTGGGCGCCGCCATTTTGCAAGGGGCCACACCATATTGGGTGACGGCGCGGTGGCGTAGCCGCGGCTATTTTGGGAAGGTCTCAGTTGCGCACTGTCGGCGCCGCCATCTTGCAAAGGAAATCAGCGTTGTTATTTGTCAGGTTGTTCGTAACGTCACTCCGAGTGGGCGGCCATGTTGGGAAGGGAACGACGGTAGCTGCCATGTTGGACAAGACTCGTGCTCATCGCCATTTTATATCGGAGTCCAGGGCAGCGCCATCTTGGATTCCCAATGGGTCTCCGTAACGACCCCGTGACTTGTTCCTTTCTTGACCTTCGTCATAGACATCATATGTGATGTCACAACTTGTGGAAGTAAACACACGTTCCTGAAGTCTTGATTAGTTCCTGTTTGCTCCCGAGCCGGCCGCAAATGCGGCCACGCTCCTCCTCGATCTTCCACTGTGGTCGCCGCCATTTTGAAGAGGTCGGGAGCGGCCATATTGTGAGTGCGTTGCCAAGAGGCGATTTGTTGCCACCATATTTAGTGTGGCAACGCTGGGCGCCTCCATCTTTGATTTGAGCGTGTTCTTCTATTTTTGGATTCTTAATCACGGGCTCAGCCATTGTTACCCAATCAATACCTAAGGCATGGGTGCCGCCATTTTGGGCCTGGCTGTACGGAAGCCGAATGGATCCAATTCGCGCATGCGCTGTTTCACCTTGTCTCCCATAGATGAGCTGAGCTGTGGCCGGTCTCAGCCTGGGTCCTTTCCCTCCCTCCTCTCCCTCCGCTCAGGGTGGGGCGGGGCAGAGGTCACTATTAACAGCTTACTCCTTGATTAAGCTGTTATCAGCTAATTATTAACAAAGCCAATAATGGGGGGGACCCAGACACTTGGGTTCCCTCTCAGCTCTGGAAAGGGAGCATACGGTAGTGGTTAGAGCCATCGCGTGGCAGGCAGAGGAGCAATCATGCCCAGTTTCTCTCCCAGCTCAGGGAGGGGTGTGGGATGCCTTGGTCCTCCCTGAGTTCTTGCCCAGGCAGGAAAGGGAGTGGGGTCCAGGAGGATCCCAGATGTCTGCGTTCTCCCCCAGCTCAGGCCCTGCAGGAAGAGGTGAGGTCAGGGTGGGGGCACTGCGACGGGGGAAGCTCCCGGTGCCTTATCTCCGTTACTGCTGAGCTCAGCGCTCGCGGTCCGGGACCTTGGACCCAGCCCAGCCCCTGATACCCCCCCCCAGCCCCCCCTTCCCCTGTGGCCCCACCCCAGCCCCTGATCCCCCCCCCCAGCCCCCCCTTCCTTAAGCTAAAGTCTCTGCCACAGCATGTTCTTCCTCTTTCTCTATTCCGGCAGGGACACAGGCTCAGGCCAGGGCAGCGGTGAGTGGCTGCGTGCTAGAGAGGGAACTCGGGCGCCCGGGACCCCTGTACCACTGCCCACCCCTCAACACACACACTTTTGAACCCATGAAGAGCCCAGGCATCAGGGCTCTGACCCGCCAAATTCCCCCTCCTTGCTGGTGGAGAATCCAGGAGTCCAGGCGTCCATCCCTTTATAGCGCAGAACACCCAGATTCTCCCCTCCTTCCTGGCTGAGAACCCAGGCGACTGGGCTCCCGTCCCTGCCAGCTCTCGCCCACCCACTTCCCCGCTCCTTGCTGCTTGAGAACCTAGGTGTCCGGGCTCCCAGCCACGCGCCCGCTCCAATCACGAGACTTCACTCCCTTCACAGAGAGAAGGCTAAACCCAGGCATCTGGCTTCCCATCCCCACCAGTCCTCACTTATCCGATCTCCCCACCTCCTCCTTGCTGGCTCAGACCCCAGGTTTCTTGGTGGAGAACCCAGGCGTCCGAGCTCCATTCCTGTCCAGTGCCAACCCCCTCAGATCCTCCCAGGTTGAGAACCCAGGCGTCCGGGTGCCCATTCCCAACAAGCTCTATAAGTTCCACCTCTTTTTGCTGGTCGAGAACCCAGGTGCCCTCACTCCAATCCCCCTCCTCTTTCCTGGTCAAGAACCCAGGCATCTGGGCTCCCTTCCCCATCCATCCCAATGCAGTGGATCCCTCTGCTTTGGCTAGTCAAGAACCCAGGTGTCCAGGTTCCCATTCCCCATCTGCCCCAACCCAAAGATTCCCCCTCTGCTGGCTGGTCGAGAACCCCGGTGTCTGGGTTCTCATCCCCTCTTCTTCCTTCTTGGTCATGAACCTAGGTGTCCTCGCTCCCATCTTCCTCTCCCCCCAAGTCTTCCACATTGAGAACCCAGGTGTCCAGGTTTGCATTTCCTACCCACTCTGACCCAAAAGCTTCCACCTCTTCTGGCTAGTCAAGAACCCAGGTGTCTGGGCTCTCATCTCCTTCCTTCCCAGTCAAGAGCCCAGATGTCTGGGCTCCCATTTTCCTTCCGCTGTGACCCAATGGCTTCTCCCTCTTTTGGCGAGTCAAGAACCCAGACGTCAGGCTCCCCTAACCCCCTCCTTGCACCCTCTCCCTGCAGCAGCCATGGCGCCCTCCCCGCGGTATGCGCAGCCGCCGGAGGGAACCCAGGAGTCACCACCAACACCACTACCGGGGTCAGAAGTTGCAGGGTCAATGTTGGGGTCGGAAGCAGCAGAGTCACCATCAGGGTCAGAGGTCATGGAGTTGGAGGCCACGGGGCCAGTGAAACTGCGGCCGGAGCTGTCGCTGCTGAATGGGGTCTGCCTCATTGTGGGCAACATGATTGGGTCGGGCATCTTCGTGGCACCCAAAGGGGTGCTGCGCTATGCGGGCTCCTTTGGGTTGGCACTGGTCGTGTGGGGCGTGGGTGGTGCTTTCTCGGTGGCTGGTGCCCTGTGCTATGCCGAGCTGGGCACCACCATCACCAAGTCAGGTGCCTCCTATGCGTACATCCTGGAGGCCTTTGGAAGCCTGGCCGCCTTCATCCGCCTCTGGTCATCCCTCCTCATTGTGGAGCCCACCAGCCAGGCCGTCATCGCCGTCACCCTGGCCGACAACCTGCTGCAGCCGATCTTCCCCTCCTGCCGTGCCCCAGCGGCCGCCGGGCGCCTCCTGGCCGCTACCTGCATCTGTGAGAGCCCTGGGGGCTGTGGGTTGGGAGTAAGGGGCACCGGATTGGGGCGTTGTCTGTTTTGGGGTCCGATAAAGACATTTACAGCTTTGTTGACCGTCTTCCTGTGTCCTCGGCTGACCCCCCCCCGGGCCAGAGTCAGGGGAGGGTGGGCAGGGGAGGTGGGGGAAAGCAGGAATCTCCAGGGGGGAGCCCCGTCTTGAGAGCCTGCCCTGGCTGCCTCCACCCAGCTGGCTTGGTCAGGAGCCAAGGCCCAACCCTGGTTGTGGGTGTGACACCTGGAGAAAGATCAAGGTGACAGGAGCTGAGGCACCTGGGAGTGGGGAGAATCCCAGCTGCAAGCCACCAGTCCCCTCAGCCCTGCTGGAGCTGGGCTAGAACCTGGGTGTCTGGGCTCCTAAACCACGGGACCCACTCAGTTCTGTGGTAGAACCCAGGTGTTTAGGCTCCTGGCCCCTGCCCAGTCACCCATTGCCCTGTCCCATCCCACTCCCCCCCCAGAGCTGGGAGAGAACCCAGGTGCCCAGACCAGTTGCTGTGCCCTGGGCAGGGGTGCCATGCTGTGATGTGGGGGGTCCCTGGGGCTGGGCTCATCCCTGTGTCACTGCCTGCTAGGCCTGCTGACCTTCGTGAACTGTGCCTACGTGCGGTGGGGAACCCGCGTCCAGGACATCTTCACCTACGCCAAGGTCCTGGCACTGCTGGCAGTGAGTGGTGCTGGGCTGGTGGGCCTTGGCCAGGGTGAGAGCCCCCCTCCCCCTTGCGCCCCCTACCCCCTGCCCTGCTTCTGTCCTTCTTTCCCAACCTGCATCCCCTGCCGCCCTCCCTGCAGCCCTGCCGGTGTCCCTAACTCCTGACCTGCAGCCCCCTAATGCCAGTTCCCACCCCCCAGGATACACCGGGCACTTCGTGGACGCCTTTGCGGGGTCCTCGCTGGCCCCGGGCGACCTGGCGCTGGCGCTGTACTCAGCCCTGTTCTCCTACTCGGGCTGGGACACCCTCAACTTTGTCACCGAGGAGATCAAGAACCCCCAGAGGTGGGTGGGGCTGCGGGTCAGGAGTGAGGGGCACCGGCAGGAGCAGAGTGGGGGCAGGGGCTGTGGGACACTGGGGACCCCGAGGGAAGAGGGGGCAGAGTTAAGGGTCTGCATGAGGTCAGTGCTGGGGTTGGAGGATGGAGCCAGCAGAGGGTGGGACTGAGGATGGGACTTTGTCTCCAGAGGCTCTAACCCCACCCCCATCCCAAATTCCTGCTTTCCCCCCAGGAACCTGCCCCTGGCCATCAGCATCTCCATGCCCATCGTCACGGCCATCTACATCCTCACCAACGTGGCTTACTACGCTGTGCTCACCGCCCCCGAGATCCTGGCCAGCGATGCTGTGGCTGTGGTGAGGCCCCACCCCTTCCAGGGGAGAACCCAGGCATCCAGGACACCCCCATTGGGACCCCTCAGACCCTACTTACCTCTGGGGGAGAACCCAGGTGTCCGGTGTCCCGCCCCCAACCTCCGCTTTGATCCTGTTGTCAGATGCCGGTCCCCTCCCACAGCAGGGATGGGACCCAGGTGTCCGGGACTCGCACCCGGACCCCTCAGACCTCACTTGGATTTGGGGAGGGAATCCAGACGTCCGGGTTCACTGCCTGCCCCTCCTCTCCCTACAGACCTTCGCCGACCGTGTCTTTGGGGTCATGAACTGGACGATCCCTGTGGCCGTCGCCCTGTCCTGTTTCGGAGGGCTCAATGCCTCCATACTGGCTGCCTCCAGGTAATGGGGACCCCCTTCCCAGCCCTACGGTGCCCCTCACTCCCAGCCCGCAGCCCCTTTCCTGTGCCCCTCACCGTGGCCCCATGTCCCAGGCTGTTCTTTGTGGGCTCCCGTGAGGGGCACCTCCCTGACCTCCTCTGCATGGTCCACGTGGAACGGTTCACGCCTGTGCCTGCTCTGCTTTTCAATGTGAGTACATGGGCCGGACCACAGGGCTATTGGGGGGGAGGGGTTGGTGCCACGGGGCAGACCATGGGACTATGGTGGGGTGGTTGGTGCCATGGGACAGACAATAAGACCACGGGGGCCATGAAGGGTAGGGCTGGTGCCTTGGGCTGGACCACAGGACTATGGTGGGGGTTGGTGCCACGGGCTGGACCATGGCACCACGGGGCTGTGGGGGGGCAGCGTTGGCACCACGGGCCTGTGGGGGGGCAGCGTTGGTGCCATGGACTGGACCACAGGCTGGGCAGGCGACGGGACAGACCACCTGTCTGTTGGCCATGGAACAGACCATGCCCTGTTGTGCAGGGGGGGAGGGAGGGGAGTCATGGTTAGTGCCAGAACTGCCTATGCCACGGGGGAGACCATTCTGTCTTGGGAGAGGGGCAGGGATGATCCATTTCTCTGTGTGTCAAGGGGTGTTTCCATGGGACAGATCATCTCTCTGCCACTTGGGGGGGTGGGGAAGGAGCTCCCATAGGTCAGCCCATCTCATGGGGGGCAAATTCTGGCAGGCCAGCCCATTCCCTGCCCCCAGGGGGTGTCACGCAGGCACCCCGAGCCCTGTCTGTCTCCCGGGTGCAGGGGGCCATGGCGCTGGTCTACCTGTGCGTGGATGACGTCTTCCAGCTTATCAACTACTACAGCTTCAGCTACTGGTTTTTTGTGGGCCTGTCCATTGCCGGGCAGCTCTACCTGCGCTGGAAGGAGCCCCACAGGTCCCGCCCCCTTAAGGTGGGCCCATCCCCTGCCCACAATCCACTGGGGTGGGCAGGCTGGGGAAGGGGGAGTTAGCACAACCTCTGCCCCAAAGGACTATGGGTAAGTGGCTTGTGGAGGCCTCGTGGGAGTAGATGGGTCGCGGGAGGGTCCGTCTGGCCCACAATGCTCTGGGCGTCACGGTCATTCGCATCCCATAATCCCCGCTGCTTCAGTATCCGCAGTGCTGCGAGGCCAGGAGGGCTGTCCCATAATGCCCTACAGTCCTGCTCTCGCTCAGTGTCCCACAATGCCCTGGGGCTAGGCCTGTCTCCCATGATGCTCTTGGGCTGGGCATGGCTCCAGCTCTTTCTCCCATGATGCTCTGGGGCTGGGCCTAATTCTAGCTCCGTCTCCCATGATGCCCTGGGGCCACACTTGTTCTGGGCATGCCACCGTATCTCGGGGCCAGGCCCATCTCGGTGTCCCATGATGTCTTGGGGCCAGGCCTGACCCCGAGGTTTCGTATCCCACAATGACCTGGGGCTCACGCTGGCTCCCCCCTGCCCCGCAGCTGAGCCTGGCCTTCCCGGTGTTCTTCTGCCTCTGCACTGTCTTCCTCGTGGCCATCCCGCTCTGCACCGACACGGCCAATGCCTTCACTGGCATCGGCATCGCCCTCTCCGGGCTTCCTTTCTACGTCCTGCTGGTCAGCCCAGCCCACCGGCGCCGGCCACGATGGCTGCAGAGGGCCGCGGGTAAGCTCCTTCCCCACCCCCTGGGTGCCCCTCACTCCTGACCCGCAGCCCCTTGCCCACCATGGCCCTGCCAGTGCCTCTCCTGACCCGCAGTCCCCTGACCTCCCAGCAGCCTGGGGTGGTGCACGTGCCTCCAGCTCCAGGGTGCCTCACCTGCCTGACTCCGCTGGTTCCCAGAGCCGAGTCGGCGGGTTTTTGCCATCTCAGCGCCCGGGTGTCAGCTGATCCCCACCCCCACTTCCTGCCTGAGGACAAACACAAGACACCAGCTCTCACACGCACAGCATGCAGCTGTCACCAGAGGTTATGGCCAGGGCTTGGGACCAGGATGCCTGGGTTCCCTCTTTGTGGGCCAGATGAGAAAAGGGGAAGAAAGGGATCCCCTCACTCCTGCCCTGCAGCCCCTTGCCCCACAGTCCCCTGCTCCTCCAAGTCTGACCAGTGCCCCTCACTCCTGATCATCACACCTTTGTCCCCGCAGCCTCTGTGTCCCGCTACACCCAGCTGCTGTGTCATGCCGTTGTGACGGAGATGGATGTCGAGGATGATGGTCCCAAGACCAAGTGATGGAGCAGGACCTGGGGGAGGCTCTGGGGCAGGGTTTGCCCCTCCCCTGCGTTGCCTTCCCCCGGACACGGACACCCCCCACCTCCCCCCGCCTTTAACTTATTTCCTGTTCTCACTCCCCTGCTGGCTCCCAGACTGGCAATAAACTTGGCACTCTGGCACCTGGCTCCGTGTCCTGGGGAAGGCCTCCCCATACTCCCCAGCTGGGCTCATTCAGGTCTTTCCAGTGCCTGGGGCAGTAGGGGGGAGAGGGTAGTCTCAGGTTTGAGGTCATCTGAGAAGGCAGCTCCCATCTCCCCCATTTGCCACCCTCGGTGTCCCCTCCTCTGACGCATACTCAGGGTGGGGCAGCTGCCAGCCAGGAAGGGAATCTTGTGCCTCTTCTGCACCTACCAGAGCCAGCTGAGAATCCAGGTGTCTGGGCTCCCATCCCCTGCCATCCAGCTCCCCACCCTGCTCCTTGTGAACCCGGGCATTTGGGCTCCCCCAACCACTCCCAGGCCCCACAGCCTGGATTGCTCCCCCACGTTCAAGCAGAGCCGGTGGCAGCAGAAGGGGCATTGCAGGTCCTTTATTGCCATGGCCCAGTCCTGCTCTCCCCTGCCCCCCCCAAGCTCAGAGCTGGGGGTGGATGGGGGCAGCTCTGATGTCCCACGTAGGGCATCCTCATCCTCTTTGCTGTTACTGGGGAGCATGTTCAGTCCCACAGATCCTGCCACGGTCTCCATGGGTGCTTGGTGGGGGTGTTACTGTCAGTCTGGCCTTTTTGGGGCTTCACAGGATTGTGGGTGAATGTCTGGCGCAGGGGTCCTGGTGGGGGGAGGGGGTGAGAGGCACGAGAGAAAAGATAAAATGTGTCCGCTTGGCAGCCCTCAGGGAGTTACCCCTCCCTCATGGGAGGGCCAAGACCCTGAAGCACAAATGTAAAGGGGGCCTTGTGCCCACATGCTGTCATTTGTGGCCATTGCCCATAGGGAGTCGGGCACAGTGCCCTTAGTCAAAATGGCCACACCATCCTGGGCAACCTGGTAATGCCACTAGTCAAAACAGCTTCCCCCACTCCAACCAGGCATGGTGCCCTCATGCAAACTGGCCGTTACTACTCCCAAGAAAACAGACAGGGCCCCACCCAGAGCGGTGGCTGTCCTCATGACTGTCCTTGCTCAACATTGTGCTTCTCCATAGAAACAAAGGATGCCGGCTGCCGCTCTACTAAGGGCTCAGCCTAAGGGTGGCTAGCAGTCAGGACTGTGAAAGAGAACAGTGATGGCCGGAAAGGCCTGGATCCCTTGTGCAAAGGCACCACCCACCTTTCACTGCCAGCACCAGGTAGCTCCTCTTCTGCCATCTGCTTCAAGCACACCTCCTCCATGTGCCACCGTATCCATATGTTCTTCCACTCTGGGGAGGAGGAGGAGGAAGAGGGCAGGGACAGAGGGGGGTGAACCCCGTGAACATCGCAGCCCCCCTATGCCCACTCCCAGGCCTGGGGTGATGCTTACCATCTGTAAGATTCTGGAAGAAGCCTTCATTATTGGGAAACAGTTCACGCTTGTGCTTCACTCGCTCGGGGATATGGAGCCGGGTACGCACAGCTGGGATGCGCAGCAGCCCCACCTGCACCAGCGCGAGCACGTTGGATGTCAGCCAGTAGGTGATCATTGCCTGGATAAGGCAGAGGTGCAGACAGAATCAGTAGCTGGTCTGTGCAAGAAGCCCCCCATCCCCTTGCAAGAACCGTCTCTGTGCAACAGCTCTTCCCATGCTAGAAGCCCCCCTTCCTGTACGAGGCCCATCCCTGTGCAAGGTCCTTCTCTATGTGAGAGGACTCCACCTCCCTGTATGAGACCCCTCCTTGTGTGTAAAAGACTCCTGTTCCCATGTGAGAGCTGTCAGTGCTAGGCCCCTCCCTGTGCGAGACTTCCCCCGCCCCCATGCAAGGGCCCTGTTCCCATGTGAAAGGCCCTCACCCCCATGTACGAGCTCTCTCCATGTGAGAAGCCCCCGTCTCTGTGCATGGGCTCTGTCCCCATGCAAGAGGCCCTCGTGTGCGAGGCCCCCCCATCCCCATGCAAGGGCTCTTACCGTGGGGAAGGTGATGGTGAGCGGCAGGATTACCAAGGGAATCACCCGGAAAACCGTCTTAATAATCTTCAGGTGCGGGATATCCACCCCGGACTCTGCGCCGAGCTATGGTGGGTAGAGGGGGTATGTACCAGTGAAACACCGAAGTCATGCCCCTTACATAAGCCCCCCTCTTCTAAGCCCATATGGCAGGGGTGGGCAATTATTTTGGGTGGAGGGCTGCTTACTACATTTTGGCAAGCTATCAAGGGCCACATGACAGGCAGCCAGAGGCAGATAAATATTAATTTTCTAAATTTTTTAGGGGCCCTGCAGGCCAGACAGAATGGCCTGGCGGGTTGCATTCGGCCCATGGGCCACATTTTGCCCACCCCTGCCACATGGGATCCCACTCTCCAACCCCTTGTTTATAGCAAATCCTACCTGAAACACCGCCCTTGGCCAATCACCAGCTTGCTTAGTTCCAGTGACACCCCCCCACCCCAAGATGAGACCACTGCAGCCCCCTGGTTATTGTAGGCCTTGCCATACTGTTCCTCTCTCCCTGCAGCCACATGGGGAGGGGGGCACAAGCCCCATGTCCCTAAGGCAGCTGTGACACTCTGCTTCTCACCTGCACCATGAGCAGTGAGGAGCCAGTGACGGTGAGAGGCAAGATGTAGAAGGGGTCCGGTGCAGTCAGGTCTGGGAACCAAGCCAGGCCACCGCTTTGCATGCTGGGAACTGGGAGGATGGTCATTTCCCGCAGGGCGATGAAGAAGGAGATGAAGACAGGAGCCTGGGGAGATATGGGGAGGTGGGGGTAAGAGATGAGTGGTGGTGGAGGGGCTGTGAGTTGGGAGTTAGGGGCATCAGCAGGGACAGGGGGGTTGGGCACCAGGGGCCTGTGGTTTTGGGATGGGGGTGGGAGGGCGGAGCCTGTGGGGAGGGCGGGGCTCACCTGGACAAATGGCCCCAGGAAGATAGCCAGGGGGTTGATATAATTGGCCTGCTGGTACCTCATGAGGTCTGAGTTGACCTTGGCAACTGGAGGGGCAGAGAAAAGGGGCGTTGGAGGCAGGGCCGCTATCCCACTCACCAAGCCCCGCCCCCTCCTCCCTCAGGCCCCACCCATGGAGCCTTCTAACACCCCCTTACTCAGCTCCTTTATCCCACCGGGCCTCTCCCATCTCCTGTATGGCCTTTCCTCTACCTCATTTTTGCCCCTTCCTACCCCTCTGACTCCGCCCTCCCTGCTGTGACTCCACCTCTCACACAGAGGCTCCACCCAACCCCGTTCCCTCTCTGCCCTGACAGTGCCCTTCCTTCCTGCACCCCGCTGACTCTGCCTCCAACCCCTGCTGCACTCATGGCTCTGCTCCCAGTACCCGCCATCTGCCCTCCCTAGAGAGACTCTGCCCCCAACCCTCGCCACTTCACTCACTGGCCCCAGCCCTGACTCCACCCCCTTCCACAGGACTCCGCCTCCAGCCCTGGCCCCACCCCCAGCCCCACTTACACTGCAAATGGTTGCCGGAGCGCCTGGCCTCGCTTAAGAGGGTTGTGAACCGTGTGATTTCAGGCAACTGGTTGTTGAGCTTTGTCTCTTCCCGCTGCCCCTTCAGGATGAGCGGAAAGACCAGGAAGCGCGCCACTGCCGTGGCTGTGGGGGGAGTCTGTTACCCACCCTGCACTGGGGCAGCCCCTGACCCACAATGCTGTGGGGGCAGGGCAGGGAAATGGGTGAGGGGAGGGTGACAGCCCTTTACCCACAGTGCACTGGGAGGGAGACAGCCTGTTACCCACAATGCACCAGAGGGAAGAGGACGGGTATGACCCCTCGCCCCCAAAACACCAGAGCAGGGGAAGGAAGACAGCCCCTTACCCATGATGCACTGGGGGGAGGCAGCTCCTTACCCATAATACCTTGCTGAAGGAAAAACAGCTCCTAGCACCCTTACCCAGGGTGGTGTTTCCCAGAATGCACTGGGAGAAAAAAGATCATCCTCAACAATGGACCAGAGTGGCAGGGAAAGCCATGGGTCACCCCCTGTGCGCTGTGCTGCTCTGCCTGAGCCTGCCAGCGAGTTACTCGCAATGCATCATGGGGGATGGGTGTGTGTGTGTGTGTGTGTGTGTGTGTGTGTGTGTGTGTGAAAGCAAACCATATCCCAGAATGCACTGAGAGGGACCCTCTGTTACCCGTGATACACTGCACTAGGCAGGGGTGGGAGGAAACACAAGTTCCTTGATCTGAAGAGGGAGTAAACCAATGCTGTTACCCACAGTGCACTGGGCTGGCAGTGGCGGATTACCCACAATGCCCTGCACTTGGCAAGGATGGGGAATTACCCACAAGGCCATGGGGCTGAGGACTGAGGTCCCTTGTGGGGAGCCCACAGGCCCCATTGCCCACAGTGCTGCTGCAGAGGGCCTCTCCACTGCTGCATGGTGGCAGGTAGTGGGGGGGCCGGGGCCTGGCCCCCCCCCCCCCCCCCAGTATCCCAGCATGCCCCTCCCCAGCCATGATGGCGCCCCACCAGGGCAGGCCCAGGTGCACGTGCAGTGACTCCAGCACGGTCTGGATCAGCCCCACAGGCGTGTAGTTACCCAGGCCCAGCTCCGACAGGCTCAACTCCAGCCCTGGCCCTGGCCCTGGCCCCGGCACAGCCAGCTCTGCCCTGGGCTCAGGGAGCAGCGGGGAGGCAGCGGGCAGCACCTGGGAAGAACAGGGAGAGCCCTCAGTCCTGCGCCCACCCCAGCGCCCCGCCCTCCTGACCCGCAGCCCCTCTCCCTCCCTCCCTCCCTCCCCGACCCGCTCACCGGTGCGCTGGCTGCGGCTGTGCTCTGGGCCCGGCAGCCCCGGGGTAGGGGGGTGCCCCGCTGGGTCCGTCCATGGAGTCGCGCTGGGGGGATGGTGCTACTGTGAGTCTGGGGGGCAGGAGAGGTCAGTGGCAGGTCACGGGCACTGAACTTTGACCCCTGGCATCTCTGGGGGGTGCAGGTGTGAACCTTGACCCTGGTGTGTTACTGGGGTCGCAGTCCCTGGCTCCAATCCCCACAACCTTAAAGAACAAGTGACGTCAGCTGAGACTTTAATGATGTCATTAAGACATCATGACCTTTGACCTGCGCTGGGTCACTCTCCTCGGGAGCCGATCACGCTGCGTTCCCTGGCGACCTCGGGCTCTGCTAGGTGTCATGGACACCCCAAACCACGTGACCGGTG